CTACTCCCACTGCTTCACTTGACCAGCCTGAAAACAACAATAACAAAAAAAGAAAAATCCCAAAAAACAACTAAAGAAGGTGAAGGTATTCTGTAAACTATAGTGCCAGTCAGGTGTATGGTGATAACATAAGCATAGTTTTCTCCCCCAATATCTCACAGTGGTATGAATGTAGCTTGAAAGCTTGTCATCTTTAGTATTTTTGAAATTCTGTAGTTGAATTTTGTTTTAGAAAGTCAGCATAACAATTACCCCAAGTCTTTGAAGAAAGCTTCCTTTGGAGTAATGTCACTGAAAAACTATAAGAATGTACGATTTTTCTTCCAAGATGATTTTTCATAAATTTATAAGAGATTGTAATATGTATTTACAAACTTCTTAAGATATAAACACTTTTAAGGAAGCTGATTTTTGGTCATGGAGTACATAGGAATTATGTGTCTGCTATTAGATACACAGGTGTGCCATGATTTAAGAAAGCAGAGTGCATAGAAAACTCATGGTCCTGGACTCAAGAAACATATGAAAGGCTGAGTCTCTGTTCAGAAGGTTTATTTGAGACAATTTATTGCATGAAAATCAATCACTGTAATAGACTGTAATATGGAATAAAGGACAAAAGCCCATAGGATCATCTCAATAGATGCAGGAGAAGCATTTGATAAATTCCAACCCCCTTTCTTGACACAGAAATGTTCAACAAACTGGGAATAGCAGGGAATTTCAACCTGATAAAGGGCATGTGTGAAAAACCCAAAACTAACATTGTACTTAGTGGTGAAAGACTGATGCTTTCTTCCTAAGATCAGGAAGAAGATAAGGATGTTTATTCTCACTACTTCTATTCAGCATTGTACTGGAGTTCTAGGAAGGACAGTTAGGCAAGAAAAGGAAATAAAAGGCATCTAGATTAAAAGGAAGAAGTGAAACTATTTCTAAGTGGTATCATGTGATTTATAGAAAATCCATAGGAATCCACTAAAAAGCAGAACTGTTAATATTAATGAGTTCATTATGGTTGTAGGATACCAGCAGAATATGTAAAAATTGTAGTTTTCTACACTAGCAATGAACAATCTGAGAATGAAATTAAGGCAATTCAATTAATAATAGCATCAATGAGTAAAATCCTTAGGAATAAAATTAATAAAAGTATAAGATCTTGGACACTGAAAACTATAAAATATTGAAAATTTAAAAACTCTTAAATAGATGGAAAGACATCACTTGTTCTTGGATTGGAAGACAGTTTTAAGAAAACAATCCCCCACCTACCCCCCAGCTGATATATACTAGATTGAATGCAGTCCTCTCTAGCAAAATTCCATCTGCCTTTTTTTTAAAATGCAGAAATTGACAAGCTGATCCTAAAACTTATATGGAAAATGCAAAGAATGCAGAGTAGTCAAAGAAGAACAAAGTTCTTCAAAACTCATTTCCCGATTTCAAAATATACTGACAAAGCCACAAGGCACTGCGGAGCTAGAGTGGAAGGGACCGTTATTAAGGATGGAAAGGAGGAAGCTGTGGGATTTGTCAGGGCGCTGGGTTTGGGCAGCAGAGGACAATGGGAAGTCAGATGCGTTGGGGCAGATCAGGGCATTATTGCTTATCTGACTCAGAAAGACACATTTTGTGGTCTCTATCGGCCAAGCCTGGGCTTTGAGACATGTGGTTAGGAGGTTTTTTGTTTTTAGTTTCACATGTTTTATGTTCTAGTACAGCTCTAGTTCTTGATCAGTCCTTATCACTTCAGTTTTGGTAGAATGAGTGCAAATGTAATCAAGACAGTGTGGTAAGGCATAAAGGTATACAAATAGATCAATGGAATAGAGAGTCTAGAAATAAACTTTAATACTTATGGTCAATTGATTTTCATCAGGAGAATTGAGGCAATTCACTGGGTGGGAGTGAGGGGCCAGCCTTTTCAACAAAGGATGCTGGGACTAGTGGTTATCCACATGCATAAAAATGAATTTGGACCCCTATCTCATATCATATACAAAAGTCATCTAAAAATGGATTATTAACCTAAATGTGAGAGCCACAGTTGTCAGTTTTTTAGAAGAAAACAGTAAATGTTGTGACCTTGGGTTAGACATTGGTTTCTGAACCATGACACTAAAGCACAAACAACGAAAGAAAAATAGATAAATTAGACATTGTAAAAATTAAAACCTTTTTTGATTCAAGGGATACCATCAAGAAAGTGGAAAAGACAAATCATGTATCTGATAAAGGACTTGCCTCCAGAACATATAAAGCAAAACATACTCTTACAATTAAATGTAAAAAGTTAATTGCCTAATTTTAAAACGGGCAAAAGTTCTGAATAGATATTTCTCCAGAGAAGATATACAAATGACCAATAAGCACATGACAAGGTGTTCAGCATCATTAGTCATTCGGGAAATACAAATCAAAAACACAATGAGATATCACTTCATACCCACCTGATAGCTATAATCAAAAGACAGATGATGCTGGGCATGGTGGCTCACCCTATAATCCTAGCACTTTAGGAGGCTGAGGCAAGAGGATCACTTGAGGCCAGGAGTTCGAGACCAGCCTAGGCAATGTAGTGAGACCCCATGTCTACAAAAAA